TGCTGCATGAAGCCGGGGATGCCGAGCCTGCCGGCGCAGGTGAGGACGCGCCGCTGCTGCTTCCTGCTGGAGCGTTGGGCGCGTTGACGGACATGCTACGTCGCGAACGATTCAAGACTGCCAGGCGACTGCTGTCGCCGCCTGATTGAGCAGTGGAGGGTCGCGAGAGCGAGATGCGCCTGAAAGGTCTCTTGGGACTATCGCTCCGCTCGGCTCTACTCGCTTGTTGTGGTGATGCTCCATCGTAAGAGGCGGAGGATGCGGAGGGCGCATCGCGACCGGCACTGAAGCTGCCGCGGAACAGAGCGACAGACAGAGCGCGACGCAGAGGCGAGCGAGGTGATTGAGGATTCTGCCCGCTGAGCTCTGCTTTGACTGCTCGGGGTGTGCTTCGCGGTGAGGTCGGAGGGGTGGCGATGCTGAGGACTGCCATGGTGCGGCGCGGTGCGATGCGGTGCGAGCTGGTAGGTCTGTACGTCGATACGCTGATTGGTACGCGATAAGCGCGGCTGCTAGCAACCAGTCGGAGACGAATTTTGCACTCGGTCGACGGCGAGGAGTAATGTGGGAGGATGAAGGGAAGAAAGACGATGACAGCGGTGGATTAATAACGACGCGAGGGAGCGGTGGAAGGTTGGTGTGTGCGAAGGGAGAGGCATCAACGATGTGGGGGGGAATTAAACGATGAGCGTGAGAGATGCGCAGCGCGCGGCGACTTGAAGATTGCGCTCACACTGGTGAACTCGCCATCGCAAGCTTTCGCCCACTCATCATGATATCAAATCGCGGTCAGCTCTAGCTCAGGCCTCAGCTTGATCGTATCAGCCCATCATCCCCATGCTGCATGCCACAGCACGCACACTTTCGACTCTTCGGTAGATTGTGACTCACGACTGCCCGCGCACAGCAAGGAGTGCGTGTACCTCATGCGTCCCGCTTCACATCCAGCACTCATCGTGCCGTCATCCGGAACACTCAAAGCGCCGGCAGTGATGTGGATCCACCTCTGCTCCTGCGCCCACACTGCCAACTTTGCGACTTTGAAACGCCAAGTAGCGTCCCGGCCAAAGCGGTGGCAGGAGCTCATCGC